AACAGGTATTTAGAAAATGATAATTTCATAAAATGGGACGGTGTAGAGTTCCCAGCGTGTAATGAAGATATAGATAAGTTTGAAGAGGTGAATGGTGAAACTATATCAGTAAATGTTTATACAATTGATACAGATGTAGATAAAATAAGAGTTGATAAAGTAACGAAAATAACAAACCCAACATGTCATATCAATTTATTAAGACTTGATGAAGATAATAAAAACCATTATGTTTTGATTAAAGACTACTCAAGACTTTTAGGAGGTCAAACAAACAGTAAAACAAATAAACAGTTCTATTGTCAATATTGCCAGAAAGGATTTACAAAAGAGAACTTACTACAAGCTCATTTATTAAAAGGTTGTATGGCTAATGAGGTTCAAGCGATAGAGATGCCAGAAGAGAAAGAAAAAATGAGCTTCCAAAAGCACTACAAGAAATTAAAATGTCCTTATGTTATTTATGGTGATTTTGAATGTTTAACAACCTTAACGAATGAAGGAATAAAGGGGACATATCAAAATCATAAACCTTCAGGTTTTATGTTAAACGTTGTTAATTCAATAACAGGAGAAGCTAAACCATATTTATACAGAGGTGAAGATTGTATGGAAGTCTTTTGTAAAACTATGAATGAAATAAGAGAAGAAATATTTGAGGTAATGGATAATCCAAAAGACATGGAGAAATTAACAGATGAAGAGGAAGAACAACACAGAAAAGCAAAGAAATGCTTTATTTGTAACGGTTGTTTTCAATCAAATGTAAAAGCTAAAACAAAAGTTAAGGACCATTGCCATTTTACGGGAAAATATAGAGGACCAGCACATCATAAATGTAATTTAGATTATTGTTTCAAATGCTTTAAAATACCCATTTTCTTTCATAATCTTAAAAACTATGACGCTCATTTAGTAATATCAAACCTTAATAAGTTGAATACAGATAAAGACCAAGTCAGCGTAATAGCACAAAACAGCGAGAAATTTATAACCTTTTGTCTTAAACAACTGGAGTTTAAGGATAGTTTTAGCTTCTTATCTTCTTCATTAGATAAGTTAGTTAAATTAACAAAATATGAGGAGAATATAAAACGAAATGATTGGACACAACATTTTAAATACAGTAAAATAAGTGAATACGTTAAAGACGATTATGATTTAGATTTATTAACCGATAAGGGTGTTTATCCCTATGACTATATGAATGAGTTTAAGAAATTCAATGAAACAACATTACCTGATAAAAAGGAGTTTTATAGTAGATTAGGCGAAGAGCACATAGACGATAAAGACTATGAAAGAGCAAAGCATATATGGGAACACTTTAACATAAAAAATCTCGGTGAGTATCACGACCTTTACTTGAAAACTGATGTGTTATTATTAACAGATGTTTTTGAGAATTTTAGAAATCAATGTTTAGTAGATTATGAGCTAGACCCAGCTCATTATTATACATTACCTAATTTCGCTTGGGATGCTATGCTATTAAAAACTGGTATATGTTTGGACTTAATATATAACGAAGACCTTTACAAAACAATAGAGAGAGGACTTCGTGGTGGGATGTGCCAGTGCTCAAACAGAATGGCAGAAGCAAATAATAAATATATGGGAGAAGACTATGATGAAAACAAACCCTCATCATATATAAACTACCTTGACGCTAATAATCTTTATGGCTTAGCGATGTGTCAAAAATTACCATATAAAGATATTAAATTTGTTGAAGGAAACTTTACAGAAGACCATATACGAACATGGAGTGATTTAGGAACTGGATATATTTTAGATGTTGATTTAGAGTATCCAAAAGAGTTACATGACAAACATGTTGATTATCCACTAGCTCCTGAAATTATGAGTGTTACGGCTGATATGTTAAGTGATACTCAAAAAGATATTTATAAAGCATATCATTTTAATCAGTCACCTAAAGACGAAAAAACAAAGAAACTAATCTTAAATGTCAATCATAAAGAGAATTATGTATTACATATTAAAATATTACAGTATTATCTTAAGCAGGGTCTCAAGATAAAGAAGATTAATAAAGTAGTCCAATTTAAACAAAAAGAATGGTTAAAACCGTGGATTGATTTTAACACTGAAAAAAGAAAGAAGGCGAACAGCGACTTTGAAAAGGATATGTATAAATTAATGAATAACGCGGTGTATGGTAAGACGATGGAAAATGTAAGAGAACATATTAACTTTGAATTGGTAGATACACCCGAGCGTTTCCAAAAAGTGGTTAATGCTCCTACTTATAAACACAGACACATCATTAATGAAAATCTGGTAGGAGTGGAGAAGTTAAAAGAAACAGTTAAACTAAATAAACCTATATATGTAGGAATGAGCATTTTAGATTTATCCAAGTTACATATGTACAGTTTTTATTATGATGTGTTGAAGAAGAAGTACAATGATGATTTAAGACTGATATATACTGATACTGATAGTTTTGTTATACACACTAAAACAGAAGATATATACGATGATTTTAAGCAAATAAATAAACACATGGATTTTAGCGGATACGATAAACACCATAAATGTTATGATGCTACAAACAAGAAGGTGCTAGGAAAATTTAAGGATGAAGTGGATGGAAAAATAATTACTCATTTTATAGGTTTAAAACCTAAATCATATACCTTTAAGGTTCATAACGAGGTTAAAGAGGAAAAGAAGAGCAAAGGAATAGTAAAACACAAAGTAAAGAAAGAACTTAATTACAATAAATATAAAGATACTCTTGAAAATAACAGCTGTGATACTGTTAGTTTCAACAGCATAAGAAGCAAAAATCATCAAATATATTCTATAAATCAAGTAAAACAAGCATTAAGTAGCTATGACAATAAAAGATATTATTTAGATAATATAAACAGCCTTCCATTTGGGCATTATCGCATATCATAGATATGCTCTAATGCACTTCATGTCATTATGCTATTACTAAATAAATCAACTATAAACCTTATGTTCATCATCATATTTAATTTCATAATATTCTAAGGTCTCTCTTTTTGGATATCCAATTTCTCCAGTGTTAAGTTTGTTTATATATACGTTTCTCTTATTCTTATACATCTCGCTATCCTTAACTAATGTCTTGTTTATTTGTTTTGGTTTATCATTATTTAACTTATTAACTGCTTTTTCAATAACTTCTAGCTTATCTAATATCTTTTGAAATCGTGTTGCCTTTGTTTCTTTGATATCATCATCTATATCTGACATACTATATAAAAGTTTTAGATTAAAATTTTTATATTAAAAGTTTTAGGTTAAAAATGCGTTTAAAAATAATTATAAAGAGTAGAATTACAACTTTTTTTCATAACATAAAAAATGTTATGAATAAAGTTCAAACTAATTAAGCACCAGCTTATGTGGTGCTATTGAATGTGTCTCATTACTTTCCCCTTTCACGAGTTCATCCAATGTGAAACAGATGTCCTGGGCGATTATGGGCACTGATTTTTTCCGAACAAGGTGTTTGTTTTCTGCTTCAATGTCTGGGGGAACTTCTATACACTGTAGCTTTTAAATGTAAAACAATGTTTAAATGTTATTTGTCTAAAATCTTTTTAATGACTTCTCCTGTGTCTGATTTCGGTTGTTCTTCTGGAGTTGTATTCCGGTTGAATGAAAAGTTAATAAAATGACTGTCAATTTCAACGTTAATGTCTCCATTATCTCTTCTATCTATATTCATTGTTTTGTTTCCTTTTGTTGCTTTAAACGAACAAGGAATACACTTACATTTTCCACCCTTTTTATTAATTTCTATTTCATTATGATAAGGAATGACATGACTACAATTTGGACATATAATTTGTTGCTGTGTTCCATCATAGTTTTCATCGTCCATTACATCTATTTTCTCAATCGGACACTTTGAAACTGGGTAATCACTTTGCTTTTTGTTCTTCTTTTTTCTTTGCATTTATATTATATTTGAGATTTTTTATTATTGTTTTGATTACTTCTAACGTCAAAAAGCAACATCGTTTATATTTAGGCGGGGCGACTATTTCCTCTATCTTCTCCAGCTCATCTATCACATCAATATAATCCTTCATATATTAATAACGATATAATTTTATAAGTATTAATAATAATGAATACTCCTATAGTTAAACCTATCAATATTAAAGAATATGATTTTAAACAATCTAAATACGAAGTAGCTCCCAGATTACCTTTTTCACAAATAATAACAGGTCCTAGCGGTTCTGGAAAAGGAATATTATTACAGTCAATGATACTAGATATTTATAGAGACGTCTTTGAAAGGATATATATCTGGTCTCCTTCAATCTCAGTTGATAGTAATTGGTTACCTGTTAAGAAATACATTCAAGACGAGCTGAAGGTTGATTTGGAAAAAGAGAAGTGCCTCTTTGATGAATACATACCAGAAGAATTAGAGAAGGTCATAAAACAACAACACAAAGTAATAGAGTATCAGAAGAAGAACAACCACAGGAAACTATTTTCAATACTCATTATTGTTGATGACTTTGCCGACAGTAAGGCTTTCTCAAGAAACTCACCTCTTCTAAATCAATTGTATGTGAGAGGGAGACACAACGCAATCAATATTATAACAAGCACACAAAAATTTAATGCTTTATCACCAATTATTCGCGTTAATAGTCGTCAGTTATTCTTCTTCAGGTTAAGGAACTACAAAGAAATTGAAACAATGGTTGAAGAGTTAAGCGCTGTATTAATTAAAAAATCAACCGTTGCCTATCCAAGACAGTGCACAGTACAGGATGAAGTCGACTTTGGTTTTGCGTGGGTGTGGTGGTCGGCTTGGGGGGGAGGGGGGGGGGGTGGAGAGGTGTCTGGGACAGGATGTGCAACAGCGCTTTGAAGTCTTGAAGTGCACATTTGAAGATGTAGAGCTTCCGTAGGTGGATGCGGCAATGGCAATAGCAAAACACCGCTATGAGTAACAGAACCCTGCGCAATGGAACCTTCCAGGTGTCGTAAGAGCACATCCTTGAGCTCACTCACTTCGCAGTTCACGTCAAACACCACCAATCGCAGCACCAAGTTCCTGCCTGACAGACAGACAGGGCATCGGCACAGAAAAACAGCTACTGGATGCCACTGGGAGCTTGAGTCTCGCACCTGCTGACGGAGCACTGCTTGCGGCGCTTGCGCTTTCTGCCTGACCGAACAAAGATCCAAGCATAAACGCTTTTTCGCCCACCAGTGGCCTAGTGGCCAGTGGCCTACTATACTTTGGGAATCTGAATATCTGTAGCCAGAATTCTGTGAAGGCGCCGGTTTCACGGCCAAGTGAAGCAGCGTGGTCATCTGAATGCTCAGTGGACAGCTGGGCTATCCTCTGTGATGTGTGATGAGACGGGACGGAATTTCCTGAGATGTGCTTTTGTTCGGGAACTTCTGGAAGGAATCAGGACAGTACCGAAAGCTCGATCACCATGCTTTTGGCACAAGCGTCGCGCGGCTGACTGCTCCAAAATAGCCTCAGCAATCATCAAGTCAGTCTACTACTTATCAGAGGTAAGCCAGCCCAGCGCAGAAGCATATGCAGGAGTGACTGCGAGGCAACGGTCACGTGTGTATATGTGTGTCTTCTCAGCCTGACGATCATTCGTCAAAGGCTCTCGGCGATGTTTCTTAGCTTCTAGAGACGTGGACGGCCATGGTTGTTGCTGCAATGCGCCTCGCGCTTGTTATCACGGCTTTGCAACATTCTGGCGTTACGAAACACTCGTGATACATCGGCCTCCCTTGTAGGTAATTACGTGCACTCACCCAACTTGCAATGACAAAACTTGCCATGCTAAGCCGAGGGTTGGTTCTCTGACCGTGAATTGGAATTGGGATCCTCTGTGTGAAGCATCAGATGCGCGGTTCGGACGCAGGACGCATCGTAATGGATCTCTTCGCAGGGCAGGCGTCCGGTGCGCCAATCAACTGGTGATGTTTGACATCGGGCTGGCAAACACTAGTGTGGACCTTGATATGAGGTTCTGAAAGCTGCTTCTCTCTGAGAATCAATGTTACTTCGTTCGAGCACTTCGGTTTCAGCATGTGGATGAGTGCCAATGAGATTTCTTGCAACTGGAATACAAGGTCGAAGGGCTGGCCGAGGTCGCCACAAAGCTTCCTGGAACAAACAGACCAGGAGGGTGGCGAGAAGACGAGACACCATGGAGAAGCAAGGTAGGACATGCTGTAAACCCCATGGAGTCCGCCCCCCCCCCCCCCCCCCCCCCCCCTGCCTCCCCCCCCTTTTTGGGCCCTGCCCCGCCAGTTTGTGTACACTATAGACGATACCGAAACCCCTAAACCCCAAACCCCAAACTGCCCTAAACCCTAAACCCTCTGGCTTCAGGGAGAGGGGCATCCATCAGGCGCTCGCGATCTTCCATCTCGAGGACTTTTCCACGCATCTGCCTGGGGAGCATGACCTTGGCCGGCCCCTGGCCGCCATCTCCAAACATGACGGATATTGAATGGTCTGTGATGATAGACTGTCAAAATCCAGTACTAATCATGCATATGTAGTATGAGAACATATAACTTTGCTCATGTAGAATACTTACTATTTAAAGGCTTTGGGGTGGAAGGGGAGGTGGAAGCTTTGATAGCTGTCGATAGCACCCCCTGGGCCCGCCACAACCAGTCGGCTCTTTGCTTTTCGAGCTCGGCCCCGGCTCTGAATCCTGGGATATCCGGACACAAAAACACCGAGCTTTGATGCACACAGAGGGCGCACAGGATGGCTCATATGGGGGTTCTTGGGGTCCTTTGTATAAGTCTATACCTTGTTATCGCAAACCCTCACGTTGCACCACCATGCATCTTGCGGTGATAGAGATGCCGGGTCGCAAGGATGTCAGAGAGTTCACGCCCTGGAAGCGATTTCTGAAGCTGATGTGGGAAACCAGAAACTGAAGGCACACATCCCACACCAAGCCTGGAAGCGAACGACGAGGTCGCAAGATGCAACGTCCAGACCTTCCTCAAGAACCTGCACATGCCAAGTCTTCCACAGCTCTGCAGGACGCTGGGATACGTAGACGACCGACCTCCCCACAAAACTGCTCAAAGAGTTATCTCAAAAAGTTTTGAATCACTGATATGGAACGTAATGCTGCATGCTCCCCTCGAAAATGCGGGCCAAGGTTCTGATGTGCACACCAACAGTCGGGTTTCCCCGTCGGCGAAGGCTGCCAAGGCTGCACCCTTGGAGCAACATGACAAAACATGTATGTAAATATGTATATACATATATACACATATATTTATGTTTTTATATTTATTTAATTTATGTGTATATATATATGAGGGAAAAACCTTTCGGGTCTATTTTGCTTCTATGCTTGCTTGTGTATGTGAAAGTGAAAGTAAATAATTTAAATTATTTAAATAATTTAAATAATTTAAATCGAGCCTTTGTAAGGACTTCACCAAGAAATCTAAATATTTAAATTCATTTAAATAATTTAAATAATTTAAATAATTTAAATTATTTAAATTATTTAAATACGGCCCTTTAATTTATTTAAATTATTTAAATTGTCAAAAGGGTTTTCGGGGATTTAAATAATTTAAATAATTTAAATCGAGCCTTTGTAAGGACTTCACCAAGAAATCCAAATATTTAAATTAATTTAAATAATTTAAATAATTTAAATAATTTAAATAATTTAAATAATTTAAATAATTTAAATAATTTAATTAGGGCCATTTAATTTATTTAAATTATTTAAATTGTCAGAAGGGTTTTCGGGTATTTAAATAATTTAAATAAATTAAATGGCCCTATTTAAATTATTTAAATTATTTAAATTATTTAAATTAATTTAAATATTGGGGTTTCCTGGGGAAGCTCTCCAGAGGATTTAAATTATTTAAATTATTTAAATTGTCAAAAGGGTTTTCGGGGATTTAAATAATTTGAATAATTTAAATAATTTAAATCGAGCCTTTGTAAGGACTTCACCAGGAAATCCAAATATTTAAATTAATTTAAATAATTTAAATAATTTAAATAATTTAAATAATTTAAATAATTTAAATAGGGCCATTTAATTTATTTAAATTATTTAAATTGTCAAAAGGGTTTTCGGGGATTTAAATAATTTAAATAAATTAAATGGCCCTATTTAAATTATTTAAATTATTTAAGTTATTTAAATTATTTAAATTAATTCAAAAAAAGGGGTTTCCTGGGGAAGCTCTCCAGAGGATTTAAATTATTTAAATTATTTAAATTGTCAAAAGGGTTTTCGGGGATTTAAATAATTTAAATAATTTAAATATTTTAAATCGAGCCTTTGTAAGGACTTCACCAGGAAATCCAAATATTTAAATTAATTTAAATAATTTAAATAATTTAAATAATTTAAATTATTTAAATAGGGCCATTTAATTTATTTAAATTGTTTAAACTGTCAAAAGGGTTTTCGGGGATTTAAATAATTTAAATAAATTAAATGGCCCTATTTAAATTATTTAAATTTTTTAAATTATTTAAATTAATTTAAATATTGGGGTTTCCTGGGGAAGCTCTCCAGAGGATTTAAATTATTTAAATTATTTAAATTGTCAAAAGGGTTTTCGGGGATTTAAATAATTTAAATAATTTAAATAATTTAAATCGAGCCTTTGTAAGGACTTCACCAGGAAATCCAAATATTTAAATTAATTTAAATAATTTAAATAATTTAAATAGGGCAATTTAATTTATTTAAATTATTTAAATTGTCAAAAGGGTTTTCGGGGATTTAAATAATTTAAATAAATTAAATGGCCCTATTTAAATTATTTAAATTATTTAAATTATTTAAATTATTTAATTATTTAAATTATTTAAATTATTTAAATTATTTAAATTAATTTAAATATTGGGGTTTCCTGGGGAAGCTCTCCAGAGGAATTAAATTATTTAAATTATTTAAATTGTCAAAAGGGTTTTCGGGGATTTAAATAATCTAATAATTTAAATAATTTAAATCGAGCCTTTGTAAGGACTTCACCAGGAAATCCAAATATTTGAATTAATTTAAATAATTTAAATAATTTAAATAATTTAAATTATTTAAATAGGGCCATTTAATTTATTTAAATTATTTAAATTGTCAAAAGGGTTTTCGGGGATTTAAATAATTTAAATAAATTAAATGGCCCTATTTAAATTATTTAAATTATTTAAATTATTTAAATTATTTAAATTATTTAAATTATTTAAATTATTTAAATTAATTTAAATATTGGGGTTTCCTGGAGAAGCTCTCCAGAGGATTTAAATTATTTAAATTATTTAAATTATTTAAATTATTTAAATTATTTAAATTGTCAAAAGGGTTTTCGGGGATTTAAATAATTTAAATAAATTAAATGGCCTTATTTATTTAAATTATTTAAATTAATTTAAATATTAAGGTTTCCTGTGAAAGCTCTCCAAAGGGTTTTAAATTACTTAAATTCTTTGAATTGTGAAAAGCGTTTTCGAGCATTTAAATGATTTAAATAATTTAAATCAAGCCTTTAGAAGAATTTCGCCAGGATATTTTTAATTAATATAATTGTGATAACATTGCATTCCTTAGCCTGAGTTATCATAGTTATGATAACTTTAGGCACCAAGCCGAGTTATCATAATTATGATAACTTCAGGCTCCCCAAGCTGAATTATCATAATTATGATAACTTTAGGCTCCCCAAGCTGAGTTATCATAATTATGATAACTTCAGGCTCCCCAAGCTGAGTTATCATAATTATGATAACTTTAGGCTCCCCAAGCTGAGTTATCATAATTATGATAACTACAGGCTCCCCAAGATGAGTTATCATAATTATGATAACTCTAAGCTCCCCAAGCAGAGTTATCATAATTATGATAACTTTAAGCTCCCAAGTACAATTATCATAATTGTGATAATAACATTTTGAGTTGAAGTTTTCACCGCAAGCGCTAAATCGCAAGCCCTGATGCCTAAGATTTTCGGTTCAAGT